CCCCTGAAGTCGGTCCGGATCTGGTCGAGGCATTTGTCTGCTACCGCGCGTCCAACGCCTTCGACATCGAAGCAGAGGACACAGCTAGCTACCGTGTCGGGGGACTCCAACCCCACGTAGTTCGAGCCGAGGGGGTCCAGGGATCTGCGTCACACAGACTTGCCGTTACGTGTCTGGGGGTACAGTACTCAACTCGCCTGCATTTGACAGCCGAGGATCCGTGCTTGTTCTGATGCTAAGAGACCTGTGAAGGTGCGTCATGAGACGGTGACGCAGATGCGACTAGATTCTATTTGCAACTAACCGCGGGACCCCTTAGCGCCATAGCTCAAGCGGTTAGTCGCTGGCTTCCCACCGCGGCGGCCCGGGTTCGATTCCGGGTCTGGTCAAGTGGGCTTTATGGTGGACAAAGTAGCGCAGGGGCGGGATTTCTCAAGAGTACTTCGGTTTCCCCTGCCAATCTTCATTCCATCAATTTCCCAATAAAACATAATCACCCGGGGCACCACAATAGGCCAATCAGTGGCCGCCGTGCCGAGTGGACCCCATTTTGGACTACTGGAAGTCACGTAACACACCCACTGTTACTTGCACTGGCTTCCCTACTAAAAGCACGAGAGGGGGGGGGGATCTCGGACCTGCCTCCCCCATGGATTTTGCACAAAATCAGATTTTATAACAGATGGAAATTACAAAAATTTTAAATTTTGAATTTTCTCTGCCATTAATACTCTATGGTTAGAATTAAAGTGTGACATTAAACGTTCAGACGTATTGCGTAAGAAACTTTTCGCCCCCCCCCCAATATTAACTTTCGTAAAGTACCCTAAAATCTCTTCTTGTTATGTAGTAGCTAATGTGAGAAAGGTAAGTGCTGAAATCTGGTGGTAATAACGTGAACTGCTTCATTTCGGATCTTCAGGAGTAGGAGGCAGTGAGCAGCCCCCCGACGCAGTGCGTCAGAGCAGATTGCGAGGACCGGCCCCTGTCTAAAGACAAGCATGTGGAGAAGTGAGCCGCAAGGCTCTGGGGGCATCAGAAGGCTCATTTATGCCCGCCGTGTGCACCCCCAGTGTGCAACAGAAAGGAACCAAAATGTTTTTCTTTGCGGTGTACATTGCGACACTTTCTTTAAACAACAGGTCAGCTCTCGGCAATGCGCCCTTCGGGATGTTCTACGTTCTCCGACGTTCCGACAAGCGTTACTGTTGCCACCTTCAGGGTTTAATATCTTTGCGCCGGGACTGGAAGGTCTCACAGCGGGTGATGAGCCGGAGATGAAGCAGTGACTGGCGAGAGAGAAGAGCCCGGTTCTATCCAATAGGGATCGAAGACATGTTCAGTCAAAACAGAGAACAGAAAGCGTTCTGGCCGGCAGGCAACCCGAACGGGAATGGCGTTGGAAACTGCACATCCCTGAAGCTGAAGCCCATGCCTTACATTTCAGCTAAACTTAACTTAATCTAGGGTCAGCAGAACTTCCCTTCTCTCCAGAGGGCTACGCTGAGTGTCACAGTCACTCGGAAGGGTCCCGCACTGGACATCCCTAGAGTACTCACTTGAGGATGACGACGTCCAGGTCCAAATACGTGCCCCCGTACTTCCACAGGGTCAGAAGCCTCAGCACGTCACTAGAGTGTTCTTTTGGCCACGAAGATGATGCCATTGCTGCACCAAAGTCCCACTTCTCCAGCGGAGTTTTCGAAAAATATCTCGTAGTATCCAATCTCCACAGCCTCACGTTCGGATATTTGAAGATTTGCCGCACGTGCGCGCTCGAATCTTCAAGTTTTCCGTTTATTGGACAGGAATATAAGATATATACATTATATTCGGGGTTCATTTTGGCAGCAGATTCAATGGTACATGCCTGTCTCTTGTACAGAGACAGGCCCAGGTAATCCGGACCCTGATAGCCGCCCAGTACACACCCTGTTTCTATGAAGATTATGTTTCTGTCTCCGGGGGTGGGCTCACTTTCCAGCGAGTTGGCATTTCCCACTGTTCGTGTACTCACTCCTTCTGTCACGTTAAGGCCTTGCCGTGTTCGATTCGCGTTGTCTGTCCGTTCCGGTTTAACACCTCCTTCAGTTATATCTACTGAATCAAGAGGTACTGCCTCGGTTTCGCCCCTTATTCCACTTGCCTTCTCCCATATTTCGGCATAGTGACTGTCCGAATTACCCGCCCCTTTCCCCACGTGACCATTCTGTGCGCCTTCTCCAGAACCAGCCTGAGGCATATTTATCTGGAGCTCCTGTTCGGCTTCAGAGCCTAAGCCGTTGCCGGAGGACGGACTCTCACTCTCGGTCTGAATATACGCCTGGTACCAGAAGAACATGAACAGTGTGAGCACCGACCCAGCAAGTACTGCAGACACTTTACCCATGTCAGGACCCGAGTGGCTGGGATCTGAAACAGAAGATTGTGCTCGTCAAAATGGCGTCGTCTTATGGAACCACTGCCCTATAACACTGGACCCCATCATAAGCCAGACGAATCCAATTTATTTAATCTCCATTTTAATATTGTCATCTTGCCTGGGCCTGCTTCTGAGAATCCACTTGTCACGAGTCTCCTAGGTAAGGCGGCGAATAACTTCCACGTAGGTCTCTTTTTGAACTGGGCACTCTCTTTTACAGGCGCAAGTGCAATTATTATCACGTTCAGTACCACATTTCTTCTTGCACCTCCGCTGTACTGCACACTTCATCTATATCTGGTCTCGGCGACGACTGCTGGGCTGTCCACTGTCATGCAACGAACCATCTCTTGTCCCTTCATCTCCGGGGAAACGCGTTTGGCGCTTATGGTGTTCCTAGGCAACGGCCCACTGTTGTTGCTTTTCCCGCTGTGGGAACTCAACAATTACCATGTATTCATTGCAGCAGAAGTATGTGTTCCCATTGTAGTCGTTGCGCAGCGATGGACGTAACATAACATGTTTACACGTACTTCAGGGTTTTAGATTATAATGCACGAATCTTTCATTTATCCTATTGGTGCTACAGGTTTCGCCCATTGCATACTGTGGGAATATGCAAGTCTCCTGCGGTATTGCTTCCGGGTGGTACCCGTCTCACAGTCGAAGAATACAGTATTCTGGGATGTGATGCCGTGTGGTCTGGTACTAGGTCCGTCCACAGTTTCGGAGTGTGATTCTTGTTTGCCACTTGCTTGCTCAGCTTCCTCTTCGACCCTGAAGATGGACACAGTAGGTTCCTCCGAAAGGTCGGTAAAATTCTACCAGGCTACACGGCGTATTCTTTTATTGCTAGTGGGGTGGGACTAAGTCCCTTGTACTGCGGCCACTTCTGGCCTATTGTACCAGCCCCAAATGATAGGTGAGGGTGATTGTGGAGCAGTTGGTGGAATGAAAATTGGCAGGGAAACCGAAGTACTCGGAGAAATCCCGCCCCAGCGCTACTTTGTCCACCACAAATCCCACTTGACCAGACCCCGGGATCGAACCCGGGCCGCCGCGGTGGGAAGCCAGCGACTAGCCGCTTGTGCTATGGCGCGGCCAGGCTACACGGCGTAACATTCTGGCGATATCATTATTCACGGTCACCGCCTGAAACATCAGATCGAACTTCTAAATTCGGTTATGGCCCTAGAGTCAGCCTTTACAGCTGGGATACAGCAGTCGGTGTAGTGACTAAACGGGCGTCGGAGATAGAGCCCCGGTGGGGGCAAGGATTTTCACTTCTCCGTGTCGTCCAGACGGGCCCTGGGGCCCACCCAACCTCCTATCCAACTGGTATCGGAAGCTTTATCCCCAGGGGTAAAGCGGCCGGTGTGTCAAGCTGACCACTCACCTCCACCTACTGCCGAAGTCAAGAAAACGTGGGTCTATACATCCACTCCCCCACACGCCTTCATGGCGTAATGATTAATTACACACAGGGACAACTTTTTTACGAATGGCTGGACACGAGGTCTTTACTGGTAACTCTACTTACCGATCGCTTATGACCCGTGAATACAAATAATTGTTAACTCACTAATCTACACTCTCTAGAAGTCACAATAGCACACACTAACTCTGCTGTGTGGCGTGTTCACCACTAGTCGTTGCTTGGTGGCGGCTTCTACGAGTGGATTCCTCGCCAGCACTGTCCGTCGTGGTTCCGGGTCCCGGCCGAAATTCCTGCGCTCACGGCTAACATCTAACTGCGAGTGGCGGACCGCGCTGAAACCACTTGTGGAATTGTTCCGTATTATTTATTACACGAGTGTCGCAGTATACGCAGACGCACTTGAACTGAAGACTACATGCTACTGCTTGCAATGGTCACATCACTTTGCGACTGACCGTCAGTCTGGCTGTCTTGCCAGCGAGGAGAAGGTGCACCCCCGCCTTATCTTGTTCATTTAACTGACGCTCTCGCGTCGCTACTGCGTGTATAAATAGGCCGGTGGGCTGGGAATGGAGCACGCATAGCAGAAGAGAGACGCATGTGGTGAGTTGGTAACGCAGCTGTCGCTACCACCAGATAATGTGATGTACTTGAGTAGCCTCTTCCTCTTGAGGCAGTCGGTAGACGTAGGCAAGTAACACATCTTAGTCTTTTAATTGCATGAGCATTGAAGAGTTTTACTAAGTCCAGTCAGTGTTACAAGCTCGACCAGAGAGTTGAATTACAACTTTGGATCAAAACGAAGAGTAGAGTTGACAGAGGTTCGTTCTACAATAAAATCCGCGGCCACTCTACCCTGATTTCTTATACAAATTGCCCTGGGCGTTGGCCGGGTCACAAGTCAAGCATGTGATGCTTTACAGAACTCAAATTCGAAGAATTTCCAGGTACCAGCTGCGAGAGGAAATACTGCCCTCTGACCTTGTCATCACATACCGTACTTATAAACAACCTGATAGCATCACTTTCTGAGGTTTCTGCATTGATATTGTGTCTTACTGCACCTGATTATGTGCATTTACGTATGATAAACATCACACCTGTTACAACTCATTTGGTACATACTTTCCTTGCGTTTATAATATACATAAATGCACTTAGTGCTTTAAACAGAATTACTTAATGTGATTAGTTTATTTAAATCTCCTTTCCTTGAAGATTTACAGGGTCTATGTGCACACATCTGCATTTACAGTTAACAAGGAACACCACTGAGTTCCCTCGTCTTGAAGCACTTGTTCAGTAATACACTTCTTATTCTTTTCGTGCAACAACTTCATCAGTCTTACACTGCTGACGTATATGACAGTGACGTCATTGCACTTGCTACTTTAACTTCATTCATTACAGGTGAACATCATGAGAACCAAGGAAAACCTGAGGTGATGTGGCCGGATCTATGTGGGTTTGAAGCCTGAATGTGGGCACGGGTATGGCCGTGAATTAGCAGGAATTTGGAAGGAGGAGACGGCACTGGAGAGGAAGCAGGAAAACTATTACTGTAGACACGAAAGCGCGCTGTGAGCCTGCAGTCACGTGGCACTTCCAGGGCCGTTATCAGTGTACACCGCCGCGCAGATGTGTGGGTGGAGCTACTGACAATAAGGGGACCAACAGCTGGGAATTCTGCCTCGCGCCTGCCTGCATGAAACTGCACGGCCGATTTCAACAAGTGTCGGTACACAGGAGAAATTTCGGCAACATGAAGTACTCAGGCCAGTTCTTGCGTTGCGTACCGTCGGGAGTCGTTCTGTGGCTTTTGGAGACGGCTCTAGCGGCCAACACGCGCTTTCGAGGCAGAGCAGGAGGATCAAGTGTGCACACCGTACATATGGTTAGACGAGCGATATAAACAGTGCGCTTATCCCATGTTACTGTCATTACGAGACAGGTCCGTCGGCATAGCGACGGCCTGCGAGCTGGACGGTAGGGGTTCGAATCCCGAAAAGCCCAAGATTTTTTTATCTTCAGCACAGCGACGAAACCAGCTCTGGAGCCCACCGAGCCTCATACCCATTGGGTACCGGGTCGTGAAGGTGACCACTCACCACCTAGTGCCGAGGTCAAGAGTGGTGGAGCAATACCTCCATTCCCCCATATCTTCATGGCGTCATGCTTAATTAGATAATTAAGTACAGAGAACTTCACCTTACGCAAAAATAAGATACCGACTGAGCTACCTCGGCTCCAAGGCCGCGCCATAGCTCAAGCGGTTAGGCGCTGGCTTCCCACCGCGGCGGCCCGGGTTCGATCCTGTCTGGTCAAGGGGGATTTGTGGTGAACAAAGTGGCGCTGGGGCGGGTTTTCTCCGAGCACTTCGGTTTCCCCTGCCAATCTTCATTGCACCAAATGCTCCAGCATCATAATCACCCGGGGCAGGCTACAATAGGCCAATCAGTGGCCGCCGTGCCGAGTGGACCCAGATGGATTCCGCCCCCCACTAAGCGAATTTAATTTTTTTAATATTCACCTCGGCTCCATGTCGCTGGAGGTACAATGCGTCTTCAGGGGCCCTCAGTCGCAGAGTTGCTTATGTGTAAGCGCGTTACGCTTCTGTTGGCCACCTGTCAATATCTCAGATGGGAGGGATGTGGAAGGATGCTGTTCTGTCTCTCCAGTTCACACGTTCCCGGCCGCATTTGTGTCACTTTGTCAACAGACGCTGCAATTAGACGGACATTGCCCGACGCACAAGAATGAATGTTCGAGTCGTTTTTAAAACCAATCGCTAAGGCAATCTTGGTTAAAGTCAACAACACTGAATAAGATCAAAACGGGGCCGAAATAGCTCAGTCAGTGTAGTGCCTAGACTACAAGCTGGACGGCCCAGAAATCGGCGTTCGATTCCCGGCAGAGGTCAGAGACAGTTTCTGGAACCAACCCAACTTCCTATCCAGTGGGTACCGGGCCTCCTTCATCAGTAATAAAGTGGTCGGAGCGTGAGCACACTCATCTCGTTCCCGTGTCGAAGTAGAGAATTCACTGTGCTACATTTCCGGCCTCCTTACGTTTTAATGACTTGTGCTTACTTAACACAAACACAGCTTTAACAGGCCCTAAACACATTGTCTGGTATCTTTACACATAATGGCGGATTCACAAGAACGCGGTGTCAGATAACTTTGCATTTTGTGTCTCAGTCTGTTGAACAAAAGTTGCGGCTGTTCTGTCAGCCTGCTTTCCTTGCTTGAAACACAGAGCGATCGCCCTGCTGTCCGTGTGGTATCAAAGGAAAGCAGGCCATCAGTTGTTCATAGAACTCCCTGTATATAATCAAAAGAATGCGTCAGAATGTTTATGTAACTTCGTTCTCTGACGTTTCCCAAAGAACATGCATACGAAGGCAACCCAAGAAGCACTGAAACAGGAGAAAAACAGAATGTTCAGTCAGTCTGTCATCTGAACATCTGAACAGTGCGTAATGAACCCAAGCATATTTTCCTCAAACAGTGCGTTTGTTACTCCTGCGATCAAGCTGCCCTCTCTCAGCTGTAACAGCCAACCTCGCCTTGATACGTAATTATCGCTTCCATTATGCAGTTACAACAGAGAGGCAACTAATTATCGGGTTTTGCTCACAGGCATGCGCAAACTTCCTTCCTGTTAGCTGTCCAAGGTTTCTTATGGAATACTCTTTTAAGTAAAAGTTGAGGGGTATTTGAAGATTATTGTCGTCTAAGAAATAACACCGTTTAGTCTGGTACAACGTTACCAAGTTCGAACACGCAGGATTCCGAAACGTTGGTACTAGACTGCACGGCATCACATCACATC